AATTTTTGGTGGTGTATATTATCTCACTGTTTTAGTATATACTAAAACAACTATTCACCTCAGTGTCGGTGGCTAGCGGTGGATATTTACCTCGCCGCTTTGCGGCTCGGTAAATATCCACCACTAACCACCTCCACTTCGGTGAATAGTTGTTAATTATTGAGCAAGGAAGTGTATAACGAGACCACTTACAACAGAACAGATAGGATAGAATTATATCATAATTTTAGCACAGTTTGAAACTTATTTTCATAATTTCTGATTCAGAAATATCAGTGAAAATCTGAACAAAAAACTAGAGGTGAATATAAAAACAAAGAGCGTGACGGAGGAGAGAAAATAAATCTCTCAAGGGTCACGCGCACATTTGCTGATTTGCCCTTTAGTGGCAGTTATATAAACAGAAGTAACTGGTTTTCAATCTATGTGAATCCATGTATATAATAATCCTAAAAGCCTTCAACTTCTCGATACACTCGCCCATGATGTGGTGCTTAAAATTCTTAAGGGTGGAGGGGGCACTAAAGAGGTGTTAAGCGGGGGTGGGGGGTGCGGCTAAAGCCCACAAACTAAGATCCTCTTTAGAACGAAAATCTTCCATTTTGATGCACTGTTCACGACGAAAAACTATTAAAAATTGACGTATATCGCCATCATGTAGCCAAGTCTGGGATATTTAGACGGTGTCTAAAATCAAGAGATTGTTAGTACCGCACAAGAAGACAACGTTTTCCTGTCCCAACAAAGTCTTCGATCAAGGAAAGACCCCTTGTCGAAGGAATAGCAAATTGAATACCTTGCTGGCCATAATTTAATCTTTAAACTTGATTTACGCCTTTTTCCTCGTTAGTTTTGCGGTCATTGGTGTCATTTTTGCCGTTTTTGGTATCGGCTTTGCCATTTTTGGCATCGGTTTTGCTATCTTTGGCATCGGTTTTGCAAACTTCGGTATTGGTTTTGCTATCTTTGGCATCGGTTTTGCAAATTTCGGTATTGGTTTTGCTGTCTTAGGCATCGGTTTTGCCCTTTTTGGCACTAGTTTTGCTGTCTTTGGTGTTGGTTTTGCCGCATTTGCCAATTTAGGCTTTTCAGTTTTTATCCACATTCCTTTTTTACTGTGGTAGTAATGGTAGATCGATGGACAACGTGTGCGCTCTACTTCCAGGCCACTCCTGACTGCACCATCTACTAGATCCCAGTCCTCGCCTCCCCAGGTAACCTTTGTCTCGAAATCCTTCGAGAATCCACCAAATTTGTCCCAGTCTTCTTTGTATACTGCCACAGTTCCATAGCTGTAATGGTACCATCGCCCTATGGGAACAGCACTGGTTCCGTTACAGTAAAGATAAACTATCTGAGGCGCGTACAACATTTTTCCTTTGATACAATGCTGAAATGACAAGATAACAGGATAAATAAACTTATACCAGACGATCACAGCTACAGTTTATCGAATTTGGCGAACGCAATTTAATTTTCTATGACTAGAAATTTCAACAAGCTATAAATCTTGCACTGTCACGAATGCAAGGATGAACGCGATAACTGACTGATTTTGCCTAGCTCAGACGGCTACTTGGGCGCTTTGCGTATGTTTAAGATCTAACGCACTATTATCAACCTCAAAATAAAATAAAACAAAATCAAATAAATAAATAATATCAAGTGGGATCATTTTGATATTTTGGCAAAGGGAAAAACAGACTACCATTACTTACAGTCCTTACTTATTCAAGAACTTGAGCCAGCTTTCAACGTGAACGTCGGAAGTGAAAAGCTGTTGCTTTATTAATCTGCTCTAGTGTTATTGTTTATTGTTAAGTTTTTTGCTTAATCTTGGTTCCAGTCCCCTCACCTTAGTTATATATATACATAGCTGTTTTAAATTTAAACGGTTACTTTTGAAAATGTCTGTTGATTACATACGAAACCTCAAGTCATATTCAAAATGTGCAAGTTCAATATGTTTATCACTGCTGTTTGTGTCTTATTTTTGATCAAAATAAATAAACCTCTATGGATATTTCAGATATGCCACATACTCTGAAATCAACGAATCTCCATAACCAGTGCGTGTCGTCAATAGTCCCTTTTACAGTTGTGGGCTTGGTGACCAAGCCTTTGAACAGGAGTGAGGCTAAGGGTGACCCTGTTGTGATAGAGACCTGTATCTAGTTAGCATGATAACAAAGTAATTTGCATTTGAAAAGCAGCAACATCTCTATCATAACAAGCTCACCCTAAGCCTCACTTCTATTCAAAGGCTTGGCCACCAAGCCCACAACTGTGAAAAGGACTATTGCAAATTAACCTGTAAGCTGTCTCTCATTGGTGGAGCGACAACAGTTGCAAATCCCGCGCACTTCAAGCAAGCGAGAGGTCTACAAGGGAGTACCGAGTATTTGGCTCGAAAACGATCCTTCACAGACGTCACGCTGACTTAAATGTCGCAGGCTCGGTCGCTCGTGCTACAACACCGGTAGAAGCCTTCTCGCAGGCTACTTTCACACTCCCTGCCTTTCCTACTTTCTTCGCCTCCCAGCCCCAACCCCTTAACCTCAGGGAGTTTCTCTCTGTCCTCTCCACTAAAATAAAAAGAGAGATAAAGAGAAAAGGACGCCTACCTTACGTATGTCATCGATTAGTTGACTCCCAAGATCCAGATGCATGTCAATAGTTACAATAATGGCATTTGGGTCCTTAATCGATTGAACAGCTCTACCAAAAGAAAGAGTCCGAGAGTAGTTCCCAGGTTGTACAATGAAATGATAGTTCTTCAGAGAACTTTTTTTCAAAGCCTGTTCTAAATCAATATCTGGGCTGCCGAAGTCAAATATGACCACGTGTAAATGCTCATCTTTCGTTTCTTTTATGATTTGTTCCACGTTCTTGATGAAATGGTGAACCCATCGACCCAGGTTCTTGGCAGTGAGAATAAGGTAAACATCCGCTGTCCTGTCCCACTGCAGGCCGCTTGCATAACACAACGGTCCAGATAGATTCTTTGGCTGAAATACATATTCCGCCAAGATGTAGCTGGCGCCATTCGGAAGATATTTGACCACAACCTCAATGAGATATCTATCCCCTTTAAGCAGATCTTCTTTCTTTTCGACGCGTCTAACTGACAGAAGTTCATATTTCCTGAGGAGACACAAGACAAGTTCAGAAAGGTTGACTCGCTCCTTTTCGGCGAAATCCGTCGCCCAAATACCATTCGTGCGTCTCACTCCCAGAATTTCGCGCGGCACGCCATCATCATTTTTTCTTCCTCGATCAATATTTCTACTCGCCCCATGGACTTCGCCGAAAAGCGGAGAATGCTCGTAGTCTAACACGCTGGAGGTCTGAAAAAAGCAACACTGACTGTTTCACAAAGGTCATCAGACCATTTCTCTACGATTTATAAGCCTAACGAAAGCGCACGCTATTATTGAATTACTATTACCTTTGATATAGGGACATTTTTGTTCTTCTTCTCCCCTCTATGATTTTTATCTAACTACGCGTTTCCGCGCGTTACTTGAGTGTTTCCAACTAAAGCAGACAACCTTACAACCTTTGACCTACGCTCAACACTGACCGGAAATTTCGAGAATGGTGTCCCGTCAATCCCTTCAAGGTGACAGTTACAGGGGTTCTCATAACATCACTTCTTTCGGGACCATAGATAGTGTCCTTCTAATGATGTTGTGCTCCGAGTAGAAGAGACTCAAATGAGAGATTTTACTCCGGTTAATATTCCTTACCTGGGGTAGATCCTCTTGACAGTGTTGAAGTAATTTGTCACCACAGACAATGCCTCTTTTTCATTCAAAGGGTATCCAGCTATAAAAGCTTTTTGAGCAGTTTTGGATTTGATCACTCCATTCAAGCTTGGAAATGGGTATGTGTAGGTTTTTTGCACATACCTGTGCACTCCGCTATAATGTTTAAAGTCTCGAGGTAAATTTTCCGAATCAAGAAGATAACTGGGTTTATAATCACAAATAGGTAACGCCTTCTCTACTGCAGTTTTCTCCAAATAAGGCAATGTTTCAGGCCTCAAATGCCTGTTCGCAAATCTGGTCCGAGACTGCGCACAGATGAGAGCTTTAGGTAACTCATCGTCGAGAACTTTCAATTTCGCTTTATCTATGTCCTTTGTATACAGCAAGTAAAACTTTCCATCGATGATTTCAAATCTACGACTGTCTGGTCTTTTCCAAGCGACCTGAATTACGTGTTTGCTTCTCGTTGCAGTACTCTGCGACTGAAAATAAATTACTTCAAAATAGTATCTTTGTTTGGCGGCCAATTTCACGCTATCCGAAATTTGAGACTTGATACCCTCGAAAGACAACTTCTTCAACGGTGAACTTTGAGGCCGAATGTAAGCAATTCTTTGAGCATCTTTCCAGTTGGCATTAGGACTTAGCCAAACCTCTGCCAAGCCATTTGAAGTTACCAAGAATTGATGTTCTCCAGAGACATTCGGTCGAATATAGCCCAGCAATCTATTTACATAATCGAGTCTTCCAAGGTCCGAGGTGATGTCAACATTTGGAATGTACTCTCTTGTATCCGGAGCCTTCGGAAAAATTGGGTAATTGCAAATTTGTTCGAGGCTGGTCTGACAATACTTTTCCCAAGAGTGTCTATTCAAACCGTGAAGAGTAACCTCGGACTTGATATCTGTGTCCAATTCCATGTTGTAGATGTCTGTATGAGATATAAACAACTTGTCGCATGTCCCGAAACAAGGCGTTACATTCGAGGAGATTTCCTGACGATTAAAGAGATAAATCACAACTAATAAGACCCAAAGACCGACTGTTGAAAAGCCGAAAAAAAGTGCTTTCACTAAAATAATACGATTCATGGTCAGAAGAGGAAAGCAATAGTTTTTCCTCTAAAAAAAGCGCGTAATAATGCGACCGGTTTCTAGAAGCGACATGATGTGACATCCACTAGCTGTCTTATCTGGTGTAGGGTTGCATATACGGCGAATAATTTCCGGAACGACAACAATTTTTCACACATATTGATGAACACGGAAAAACCTAACCGCCTCCATAGCTGCCCGACCTAAAGCCGACCAATCGCGACGAAAGCCCGAAGGCCGAAGATCAGAGTACTGCTGTTTGCGTAGCAGTCCATCACACTGTTAGCCTAAGGGTATGCGATAACATACCTTGCGTCTCCAGTGCGTCATTTGGTTTCCAAAACAAGGGGAGCTAGAGGGGCGTTTGATATTGGAGACCAGACCTAATGGGGGTGTTAACGAATTGTGAACACTAAAATAGATCTTTTTTTTATCAGGATCTATTTCTGCCGCTCTGTCAACTCCCATCTTGATGAACATGGGCTCAAAAAGCCGGCTCCGGACGATAATTTAGCAAGAAGTTGCTGGCACAAAAAAATGTTCTGTATGAAATTATTTGGATTTTTTTCTCATCTTTGGTTGATTGCTCTTTAGTTCTAAAGATTAACAAAGACAAACATTTTACAGAATATTCTTACAATTGTGTAAACTTAATGACAACCTGGAGAGGAGCTATATATTCTGTCTATTGATGCTTTTATTATAAAGCCATTACGAGCCAATCAATTTTCCTGTATTACAGATCGATCGTCATGAAGAAGCTTTAAGCAGATTTCACAGACCATACACTTAATGGAAACGTTATGAACCCGATAAGGTTACTTAATCTTTAATTAAAGGCAATAAAGAGTAATATCTTGTTATGAAGCGTTCATGACGTTTAAAATTGTTTTGATGACGGACACGAATGGATGAGCAACAACGCAGAACATGCGGGGTAAAGGATTCAACCATTGAAAATGGGAATGTCCGGTTGTTTTGTTTCAGTGAGTCCTTTCTTCAAGATCACCTGAAAGGTAGAACTAGAAAAATAAAAAGGGCCAATTTCAAAGCGCCTCTCTGCCGGGAGAAATTTAGCCTAAGAGTTTTGAAAACATCTCATGTAATAGTCGTACATTAATTTGTACAATGTTAAACTTGAGTAGAGCTCCTTAACAAAAGTCACAGATCGTCAACTCATTAGCACTTGCAACTTATTAGACAGACTAATTAGTCAATTGCGGATGCCGCATTCTTTGTGACCGAGGTAACGGACGGCACAATACTTATTGACGGGTATATTTGTATATTGTCGTGAAGCCGTGCCCATTCTCGGTTACATTTAAGCCGTACTGGCCACTGGAATTAACTGCTTATTGATATCAAGGAGTATTTTTAGCCGCGCCAAGTCTGATCGGATTTAATTGCCCCGTCTTGTATAGACGATTTTGATTAGGGCGATAAATTTGTTTACACAGGATAACGCAAAGTCTACACGGCAGGGTGTATTAATATTGGAACTCACTCAACATGCAGCGCAAATTAAGTTTGCCAGATGCGAGAATAACAATGTTTCACCAACGGGCTCTCACGGATATTGTTGAACACTCGGACGAGGAAGGAAAAGAATCTGCCGGCGAGGAAGACACGCAGAAAAGTTGTAATGAAGGTGACGTCAACAAAAACGAACCGAAAACACAAGCAAACCTTCCGTTGATGCATCAAGTGGTTATGGAGGGAAACTTAGAATTACTTAAAGAACTAATTAAAAATGGCGCAGATATAAATATTTTGGACGAGAATGGCTGGCCCCCAATGCACTCAGCCATTCGATCTGGGAACACTGAATGTGCAGCTATTCTTATCAAGGAAGGAGCTGGCGAGTTTTACTACAATAAACAGAAACAGGACTATCTTAGAAGGCTAGAACGTTGTCAAAAGGGGCGCAAGATTTCGTACTGGAGATGAGGAACGCTGAGTCATACATCCGGCTTGAACTTGACTTCTCAAATGAAAACATTGTAATGCAATCAATTGTCGATCACAGAAATATTTATAAGTTCTACTGTAAATACAAGACCTTGAGAGTTCTGCAATCTTTTAAACAACTATTCAACCAACGCGTGTGGCAAATTGGCAAATTGCTTCAACGAAGTTACAGATCATTTTAAACAGACAAAAGGATTAATTTATAAACAGGCTTGATATGTCTTCCATCCGTTCCTTCCAAACACGATGAAAACACCTTTTTACGTGGCACGTGTCGATACTCTCTGGTGTGGGTGCCACGGAGTGACGGTTTCGTTTTGAACATTGTTTCCTCAATTTGCTAAAGCCTTCCCTGTGACACTCAAATATGGTTTGTAACTTAAAGTACTTTTTTAATGAGTTTTCTCGAGTTAATCCCGCTTAGCTGCACTTTTTGAAAATGCCACAATATCTGAGAAAGTCAGAACTCCCACTGTTCCATACAATGCTACTAAACTCACGTAGGAAACAAAAGAAAAATTGTTTGTTTTTGACTCAAGGCCCTAGCGACGATGTACGCGGGTCCTGAAAACGGACTGATGAATACTCTTGCCGATTCTTACAAATCTTCGTTTGCTATTCATGAACTGTAAAGCTAAAACTGATATGCTAGATTGTACAGAGTTGCCATGTAGAAAGCTAAAGGTGTTGAAAGAGATTTTGTGTGAATATTTAATCTCTAATTCCGCGATGAACTCCTTAATCCTGCTTTGATTTTGGCCGTAATCCTTTGTGATTAAAATATTTTGCATAACAAAGACATAAATGTACAAAGGCACTTTTTATTGTCTCGTCAAGTTGTTTGTTGACCATGCTAAATTCATCACTTGCATGGTTTATATCAGAAACACATTCTGCTGGGAATTAACCAAATGTGTCAAACCATTACTCTCGGTAGATGGTTCTCACCTCATATATAGTACGTCCTGAAATCACGTACTTTATTAAATCTCAGTTGTTTGGCGAATATCATTCAAACTTCCTGAGGCAATATTGGTTCAGAGGTACATCCGGTCGATTGTTAATTCAACCACGGTTATTGCTCTCTGTTTTATTTTCTTTAATAGGACAGGATTTGATGTATCAAAACTAAACCTAAACTTAATATTGCTACCCTTTCGACCCCTTAAACCATCGCCTTTATCAACAACGATCGACAACGAAATGTTCACAGAACGTCTCGCGTGTTGCGAGTTGCGATGCTCGACAGCCACGCGAGGATCACTGTGGAGCTCAGTAGAACCATGCCATCTCGAAACTTGATTGACTTTAACCTCCAGCTAACTCGAACAAGATCCGATTTTTCTTGGATTTGACTCTATCATTTTTCCAACCATTCATCATTAGCTCACTCGAACTAATTTTACTTTCCCCGCGCCCACATTTACCCTAATAACTCGAGCTTTAATGAAGCAAAAACGTCGGTAAATACATGTCAAGATCAATGCCGAAATGAGATTTATGATCACCGCAACTGAGATCGGCTCGCGCATCTCAGCCAATGGGGGAATAATTAAAATTGAACAAAAGATTTACTTTAAGAAATTGCAGAGTAGGATCTCAAACATAAAACTGAGATTCCGGCTGAGAAGTGACGCGACTGATAGATCACCGCCTCTCCCTCCGTCTTAGGAGGGGAGGGGTGGTCGACTCCTCTTGAATATTCTCATAACGAAGACCTCGACTGAAATTCAACATCCATCTTAAGTTACAAATTACTCTAAGGTTGTAACAGGCGAGAATAATATCGATGTGGCGCACAAGATAATATTTGTAAACTTGATTTCTGAATCAAAGCAAGCTTTAGTTCTGACTGATTTTCTCTCCATTTGAGCAATGGTTTATGGCTATCTGAGATTGCACGGATCTTCTTTCTTTGACGATGTTTTTGATTAAGAGAACTGCTAGGTGCCCCTATCTCAAATACTCTGATGAAAACTAAAAACAAACTTTGACTTCGTCATGTATATTTTCTGCATGCGAGATCACCTTCTCAAGGGAAATTGTTCCCTATGAGGCTTCTCTTTGTTATTACTGGCAGCTTAAAGTACCAGTTTTGTTTCGGGTTTTAGGACACTAAACCGAAAGCGCTCTCTGCTTCGGTATTTTCATAAGTTAACGAAATACAAAAAGTTTGAACTTTCTTAAAAAGCTTAACAATCGCTCATCGTCTCAGCAAGTTCAATTGATCATTTTTTCAATATCCAGCGGTAATCTCTCTTAATTTGAACATCGTCTTTCTGGCCTATGGCAAAAATAAACAACAAGAAAAAGAAAAGAAAACAAAAAACACTCGGTAATCAGATTTTAAAGAGTTGTTTTTGTCGATTGTAAAAGACCCCACTCTTCCTCATTTTGAACCCTTGCAATTCTCATCAGTATGCATGTTCTTTATACATTTCCTTATTTCCAAGGAAATAGCCGCCTCCCAGTTAGCTCAATGGATAGAGCGCTGGACTGTTGTGCGGGAGGTCGAGGGTTCGAGCCCCGACCGGACCAATACTCAAGGTCTTAAAATAATTGAGAAGAATATGCTACCTTTCTATAACATCAAGAAATGGTTAAATACTCTAGTCTTCTCGGATGGGGACGAATAAATGGAGGTCCCGTCTCATACAGGGTTAGGGGTAAGAGAAGTTAATTTCCCACGCACGAAATTACTGTGTGATGGATGTCCTCCCCTGGGATGGGATGGGTGGGATTTTTTGGGTGGACTACTCGCATGGTTCACATAGGTTCCGTTCTAGTCCCACCCTACTATCTGCCTGGGTTTGTCTGCCGCTGTGCCAAGAAAGCAAAAGATCTAGGGTATGATCTGTTTGGAGTGCAACACTTTGGTAAGTTTTATTCATATAGACATCCATCTCCAGTAACGCGTATAAAGTTACCAACAAATTGGACTCGCATGGTTCGCATATGTTCCGTTCTAGTCCTACCCTACTGCGGTAATGCAGTGAAAATGGTTAGAAATAAGAATTTGCCTTGAAATCAATAGCTTTATCAGTCGATGATCTTTATTTTTACTCTCACAACTTTAATCTTTGACTCAGCTGATAGATTGTTGGGCGAAATCCCTTCCGTTCGCTATTAAGGGTTAAAGGTAACGAGCGATCAATAATAACAATAATTTGAAAAATATACACAGACGTTAAAACATAAACAAACATATATGCAGACGTATATTTAACTTGCACTACATGGATCCCAAAGAAAAACTGAGCACAGGAGGTTGATTTTATTACGAGCGTTTTAAAAACAGAGCATTATTAATCAACTTTGTTTTTATAAATATAACCCCACTTTGAAATTTGCAGTTCTATTTATCATTTAACTAGATAATCCAATTTTTGAGTTTATGACTCGATTCGACGTTTGCGTTTACTTATTTCTATAGCAGTACTAGTAAATATAATTTTTGGTGTAATTATTAAATGATTTAGAAATAAAGTGTCCTTCTTTCTTGTCCATATCCATGTGTCTCCAACACATTGTAAAGATAAAAATGCATTGAGCGCAGAAAGTAGTGCACTTTTAAAACACAGCTCTTGCAACTTGACACAAATAATTTTCAGATTCATAGAGGTGTTCAATTTAATAAACTCTCGTTTCGACTTAGCTTCGTATATGTATCGAAGCATGAAGTATGTAACACGCTTGACAAGCGAATGACCGCGCACATCCCACTAAAATAATCTTAGATCGATTGACATCTCTCATAGGACTGTGCTGATTTTAATAACCACGAAAGGAATTGATTTAATTTAATTTGCTTTTTTTAGCTTACAAATTTCAAAAGCAATGTTATTGGTAGCAATTTTCAACATTCATGGCACAATTAATCATGTTTTTATCTCAGTTAAAATCAAATAACTTCGAGCGGAACAGGAACACTGCCATATTTACCTACAAAAAATTCTTATAAGTAATGAACGGAAAGGATACTCATTCTGACTCCCACTTACCGACCCTGGAACACAAACCTAGCCTGAAATTTCCCCATCTTTCACAGCCTCTACTTGACTAGCACTTCAAAGAAGAAAAAGTAAGTGCCCTTAAGAACATGTTAATTTGAAATACTACAATATAAACTGTACCTTGTAAGACGTTGTCCTTTGCTTTCGTTGTCCACACTTTTTCTCTGATAAAACTGAAATACGTTGTCAGTAAAATACTAGCAGAGAGCTGGGTACCAAAGAAACTTTTAGTCAATAAATCTGAATATTTCCCTTTCCAGTTAAAATAAATAACATATGTTAAAAAGTTAAGCAAAAAACGTTTTCTTTGTTCCTTCCTCCATTGAACAAGCTAAACAAATTGAAGCTTTAAAAGAATCTATGTGAAAGTATTGAGTTTTTTCGAGGTTGCACTTTGTAACGATTCTTATATTAATTTTTTTTTGTCATTTCCTTCGCTGTTAAGATGGTTCAACGTCCTCTGATTATTGTGATGCTTCTCTTTGCGTTAATTGCATGTCATGAAGGTAGGAAAATAAACAGTTTTATTTATCTCACTTACCTTGTTTATAACTTTTGCTTCCCTATTAAGTTGGAACAATTCCCTTCCTTGACCTCAGCGTTGCAAAAGTTATGGAATCGATACAACTTTCAAATATGGCACTTTTCGATGTAGTGTTGTAGAACCAAAACAAATCAATGTTATCCTGACGGGTCGATCAGAACAAAGCAAATATATCATCAAGAACCAAACGAGAGCTTAAAGTAAAACAAGCAAACGATCTGAAGCACGGGAAAATGTGAATAATGAAGTCACGAGAGTCTGACGCGAGTTCCCTGCGCTAATCCGGTGATCAGAGGGCAAAAGTAAGCAAAGCCAGCTATTTCAAAACTTAATTAAAAATTCCTTTTATAACTTTCCACTATTTCATGATTATGTATTTCACCTTATCTTTTATTCATGACGCGGCAATGTGCAGCGTCTAATCTTTGCCAGGATCCCAAGGACTGTCAGGTTTCTTTTAAACCAATGGGATGCTTCAAAGACAGAAGGCACGAACGAGCTCTCCCTCAGTATATCTACAATGAACGTGACGACTCCATAGCCAATTATGGCGGGAAAAAGATCGACTGGAATGACTGGGAAAACTATCTGCCTGGGTTCGTCTGCCGCTGTGCCAAGAAAGCAAAAGATCTAGGCTATGATCTGTTTGGAGTGCAGCACTTTGGTAAGTTTTATTCATATAGACATCCATCTCAAGTAACTCGTATTAAGTTACCAACAAATTGGACAAGAAAAGAAAACAGGACCGAGGTGATGTCGAAGGCAAGTTTTGATATTTGAATGAAGGGCGAAGAAGACTGCTCCGAACCTGTGCGCAATTTTTAGCCAAAATCGTGATAAAAGTAACATTTTGCCATGACGTATCTTAAACGAGAGGAACCGAGTTCGTAAAAATCTCTTTTGTGAGAAAGTTCCCAGCTTCGGATAAGTTTTCAAGAGGTCCGAAACACTGAACATATGTGGACACCTTCGACATTGTACTGCGCGGCACCAACGTGGGAGGGGCAACAGAGAGGGGATCAGTCGTCACCAACAAAGTGTTAAGGGGGATTACAAAAAATTGACGGGGGGAGCACAGTCAAAGTCCTCCAACCCCTCCCCCTAATTTCAACCGGTAGTACACCTCGGTTTTGATATCTTATTAGAAATGGTTCATGATCTGCCTGTATATAGGTGAATGCTACGCTGGAAGCAGCTCGTCGGATCAATATGACAGGCATGGCCCGGGAAAATGCAAAGATTGCCTTGGGACAGACATGAATGATTGCAACGGGAGAAAGTTTTGTGCAGGAAAGGAATGGCGTAACATGGTGTACAAGACTGTCGGTAGGCATAAGGGGTACAGTAGACTAATGTAAGAGATCTAGGAGTATGAGCACATCTGAAATTTTAGTTGACCCTTATACAATTTAATGAAGTTGAGCGCTGATTGGTGGAGAATAGTTTGGGGAATGGAATAGAATGGAAGCGGGGGATTGGAGACCGGTGTAACTCATTACATCCATAAACCGATAGAGTACACTGGGTGTAATTTCTGAAATGGGCAGACATGGCTTTTATTTCAAAGCAGTAAAGTTTTAGGTTCTCTTGTAAACTGTTGTACAGGTAGTTAACAAACCATTTGTAAAACGACTTCTTCAGATTTATGCAGTGTTCCGTTCGAACGAATCGGCTGCTTTCATGATCAAAAAGAAGCCCCACGCCTCCTGCCATCATACCTATTAAATGATAGAGATGAGAGCTTGCCCAACTTTAGTGGTCAGCTGATTGACTGGGAAAACTGGTACGAGTATCTCCCTAACCTTGTCTGTCGCTGCGCAGAGAAAGCGAAGGAAAAAGGCTGGAAACTGTTTGGAATTCAGTTTTGGGGTGAGATGATTATTCAACATGGTAATTCAGTTGTCGAGGGCATTGGGAGGAGAGAGCCAACGCCCTTGTCTTACTCAACCAAAAGGAAAATCTTTGTAAAGAAATACAACAAAACCATAGTAACTAAATGTTACCTTAAAATTTTAATTAGCGCTTGCTTTCTCCATAAAAAAGGTACAACATTTTGGACAGGTTATACTTTCTTGAGAACCGAAGGTAGACCAGTGTAGCGCCTGCAAAACACAACTCCCTAAGATGCTATCTCTTAACAACCACAGACTGTCCTAAATTGTTCATCCGATTTTAATTTGCCATATTATAATATCATCAAGGTTGTTCACATCAATCAAAAAAAGGTTTTAGAGCTGGAAAAATATCTTCCAATGTACTCCATCATGAATTTGTAAGAATGCAGTGGTCTTACCGAAGAATTGTGCAAAATACATGAAGACCCCTTTTGTATGATTGCCATTAAGAGCTGTTCTTGGTTAGTTTATCAAGTGATAATTGGATATTTGTTCTTTTGTTACCTTAACCCAGGTGAATGCTGGGGCGGTCCTGATGATTCAATGTTCTATACTGAAGGGCATGCTCAGCCTGGTGGATGCGCAGACCAATGCTCTAATGACTGCGCCTGCTCGAACAGATTTTGTGCTGGAAAGCAATTCACCAATGCTGTGTACGCCATCAGTGAGTAAAACAAGGCTGACAGTTTCAAATCGGCTACTTAGGAAGTCCGATCACTCTCGAATTGCGTGGTTAAAAACGTTGCTCTCGTTACGTCACAGGAAATTCTACCCCTAGAGTAACTCCGCCGTAAAATGTATAATTGGCTAGAAGAAGATTTTCAGGCAAATTATACATAAAAGTTAACAAAAAAAAATGCTTGAAAGGAAGGTGCAGGGTCAGTAAATGGGCTTCTATCCAAATCTCACTATAACCCAACCTATTCAAAAGGGTATAGCACTACTTTTGTTACTTTCAGGTCTCAGGAGTTAGGATTGTTTCTGTTGCGCGAAACTGCCTCATAAAAGTTTTCAGTGATCCCTTGATAAACTTTTGTTTTTCAGAGAATTTTAACGCCGTTTATTTGATACTATGTCTGCGTAACATTTGCCTGGTAAGGATCTGGGTAGGGAAAACTTCTCGTACGAAAAGCGTAGGGATTCTGGTTAATTATTTTGAACTAAACCCCGAAGAGGACCAATTAACTACCGACAAAAGTAAACACTTTCCATAACTGTGAGGGAAATATTCAAATGAAAGGAATGACTAAAAAATTGTATCTTTTCATAAACCTTACAAACCAAAGCTGTGTACCCATGCATTCTTATCATTAAGAAACTTTGACACGTTATCATTTTTCCCGTAGCGGAACACGTCGATGAAGGAAGCGCTAAGGCAGGTGAAGTTTACATTGTGGGATAGCTTCTCGCAGGAATCAAAGAACCCAACCAACTCAGAAAGATTGAACGACAACGGTAGAATAAATGAAACTCAGTCAACAAGAATCTTATGATAGATGAGAATACTCAGCGAAAAATAAAATCTACGAAACAAATATTTACTGGCAGTCTGTATTTTACTTGTGTTATGTATGCCAATATGAAGCAATCTAGGTGAAATGTTTGATAAAAAGCAGTACAACTTATTTCCCAGAATCAAACCAAATTTTCAAATTCGTATTATCGAGGGCAATTGTGCTTCGGGAGTAGCGGCGTTTAGTTTTTAGGCAGAAATATTAAACGACTGAGGAAGGGGTCGGGAAAGCTCCATGCCTTTAACAAATAACATCCAGTAACAATGGCTTGAAAGTAGGGCGGAAAACTGGGAGGCATAGGTTGCATTTTCTATTTTCTTTCCCAACCTTTGATGAACACTTCCTTGAAAACATATTATTCTAATTTATCCACCCGTATGGATAAAAAATGTGAGAAAGTAGACGCGAGTCATTACTGAATACCAGACAGTTGGAAAATCTCAACATGGAAAGGAACTTTCAGCCAGGATTTAAACCTCGATCTCGTTTAAGTCTGCTTCTAGGCATGAAAAGTGAACAGCGAAGCAAACCTCCCTCAACTTTAATAAAAAAAATTACAACGGCTCGACTCGAGAAGTAAAAGTAGAAGGCAGTCAGAGATTTCATGATCAGATAATTTGGTTTTATCGACTGAGTTGATAATGTGAATTGGTCACATAGAGGAGTTTCAAAGCTGAAGTTTCAAACGTTAGCCCTCGGGTAGCCCTTCGCTTTGACGAAAGGCCAACGCTCGAAACATCAGGTTTAGAAATCATATGAAGTGGCCAATCATCATCGTTAATTCAGTTGGTAAAACCAAATATCTTTTAATATTCCCCACCGACGCAGCACCAGCTTCATTAGAAATTTACCCCCTTTATTCATTAGTATTTCATGGTCAGTTAATTCACTATGATAACAAAAGGGAATCCAATCAAAGTTGCCCAGAAATAGACGAAATATACAATTAAATCCCACTCACTTTGACAGAAGAAAGTATTGCTTCTATTATAATCGATTAGAGGGAAGAAGAGCACAGGTTAAGTCATGCAAACGGCACACTTTTATTTCTCATGGGAATCTTAGGGTTAAACGCGCGCGAACGAACACATTTCTAATTAAATAAGTGATTGTCTGATTTGATTGAAATAGAGTTAGATAATTAAATTGGACAATGTCTTAATAATGCAAATCGATTATTCACCTAACAAAGATGCCTTCCCTTTTTTGTTTTCTTTCTTTTCTAAAATTATTACCTCTGTCTTTTAAATCTTATGTCATAATTGGTTCTGTAACCTCAGATGAAATTTATTTTCATCAATTCCATCTGACAAACATTTGCTAATTAACCAAGGTTTTCTTATTGCTCCACTAGCACGAATATTCGCTCGATTAACATTTTCACCACTGAGGTCAGAAACAATAAAACATGGGAAAGTTTACCAAAAAACATATTGCCCTAGCTGTGCTTAAATTTATAAAAATCCTTAGTTTTCCTTCCATAACTGTTTCTAGTATAAACATTCACTAGAGTACAAACGGAACGAAAGTTCTTCGGAGTGAAAAGACTTTAGGTAGGGAAGCTCTCCGCTTGCTGCTCAGTTGTCAAAGCAAAACCAAAAGTGCTGGTCAGGTCTTATTTGAGAATGATACTAGGAAACAGTATCTAAAGTACAATGAAATATATGGCTCTATAGAGTCACTTCGTTGTAAAGCGGTTTGTACATCTTCTATGAAATCATTAGGCTACAATTTTACCTTTTAACACTGGGACTTGCTTCTTTCTAGCGTTACGAGACGAAAATGGTAAATTTTGCGTTGGTTTTCGTATTGGCGACTTCCTCAACGCTGATAAAAGGTAAGAAAAACAATTAGAAAGCAATAATAAGTAAAACTATCGCAATCTATATTACTTTCTACATTCTTTAATCTTACTAATCTTGAACATGTAGTTCAACTTAAATTTTATTCATGACGTGGCAATGTGCAGCGTCTAATCTTTGTCAGGATCCCAAAGACTGTCAAGCGTCTTTTAAACCAACTGGATGCTTCAAAGACAGAAGGCACGAACGAGCTCTCCCTCATTATATCTATAATGAGCGCGACGACTCTATAGCAAATTATGGCGGGCAAAAGATCAACTGGAGCGACTGGGAAAACTATCTGCCCGGGTTCGTCTGCCGCTGTGCCAAGAAAGCAAAAGATCTAGGCTATGATCTGTTTGGAGTGCAGCACTTTGGTAAGTAATGTAAGAATAATAATAATAATAATAATAATAATAATAATAAAATATTTATATAGATCCTATCCTTTTCAGTGCTAAGCGCTTTACAATACTTCAAAAGGACTAAAATCATATACATATATATATATATATATATATAATAACAAAATTACAAAATGGAGAACCTAGGATAGTTCATAAACTTGCTTAAAACGAAAGGTCTTCAATGTAGATTTGAACTTGTTTAAATCGTCGATTGATCTAATATCAATAGGTAAATCGTTCCAAAGTATTGGGGCAATAACTGAGAAAGTCCTTAAACCATATGTCTTTAAGTTATAGGGTTTGATAATAAGACGCCACTTGTCTTAAGATGCGCGAAGGTACCTCATGGGTTCATAGACATGAATTAGGTCAACCAAATAATCAGGAGCTAAATTGTTGAGTATCTTAAAACAAACAAGATTGATCTTAAAGATTATTCTTTGCTCCACCGGCAGCCAGTGCAGCTCCTTTAAGAGTATCGCTTATGTGATCAAACTTACTTAAGCAAGCAATCACACATGCTGCAGCATTTTGGACACATTGCAGTTTGTTAATTTCATACTTGGGAAGACCAAGTATGAGGTCCAGCTTTAAATTTACAAATGCGTGTACAAGAACTTTAGCTGTTGTAACATTGATATATTTACGAATCTTAGCTATATTTCTTAGGTGGTGGAATGCCCCTTTAACCATGTTGTTAATATGAAAAGACATCATTACGGTGTTATCAAAAATGGCGCCGATATTATGCGCCTTATTTGTAGGCTCGATGATATCAGTTCCTATTTTAATAGAAGGTAGCCGTGGGGGCGGTCTGAACTTAGAATGGAGAATAAGAAGTTCGGTTTTATCAGTAGTTAGTTTCAGTTTGTTAGTGGTCATCCAGTTGGTGATATCAACAAGACAGCTTTCAATCCGGGAAATTGTAGTGGTAAGGTCATTCTTATCATCGCAACTGAAGGTACTATTCATGTAAACATTCGTCTCGTGTAACTTAAGTGAGGTTACAAGAAAATCGCTGGGGTAAAAACAGCTAGAACATGAATTTGATCAGGTCGTATACCTCTGTATTAGTATCTTTTAGTATCTTATTAAAAAATGTTACATTACCTACCGATAGGTGAATGTTACGCTGGAAAAAGCTCGTCGGATCAATACTACAGGCATGGCCCGGGAGAGAGCAAAGATTGCCTTGGGACGGACATGGACGATTGCAACGGGAGAAAGTTTTGTGCAGGAAAGGAATGGCATAACATGGTGTACAAGATTGTTGGTAGGTATCAATCATAAGGAGAGCACAAAGAGTACGAAGAGCGGTAAGAGCAAGCTCAGGGAAAGTTTGAGTTCAAGAGAACTGAGTCAGAAGTCGAGATGTAATGTAAATGCAACAGAATTTAAATGACGGAGAGCGCTGATTTGTGAAAAACAGTCGAATCGTGGATTGAAATAAACAAATGAAGAAGTACAATGGACTAGTGGGGGACCAGTGGGGACCAGTGAGGGCCAGTGCAAAACATTGCATCCCTGAGCAATAGAGTATACTTGGCGTAGTTTGAGTAATGTAGTGGATAGAGGGGAAATGGAACAGAGTCAGTAGAGTAGAGAATGGAAATTAAAGAACAAAATATGGAGAAAGACGATGGAATTGTAGGGTACAGTGGGACGAGATTCAGTTGGGATAAAGTGAAATTGAATTGAATATATTACAATGGGTTCCATTGCATCGAAGTAAATGGGGTAGATGCGGGTGTAGGAAGGCGAATTTTTGTGGCTTTAGAGGTACTAGTGTAAAGGAATTGATTCCTACAGTGCAAAGAGATTTGTGAATTCGTGTAGAGAGGAGTGAATTGGGGTAGTATGTAATGGAAGGTAATCCAAGGATTTCAGTGGTGTGCCTTCCAGTGAGGGAATTGCAATCTGTGGCATTGTGATGTAGCTCTGCAGCTCAATAGATAAGGTAGATTTGGTAAAATAATTTGGTGTTACGAGTGAAGTGAATCCGTTCAAGTTCAGAGAAGTGACGTGACTAAATTTCTACGGCGTGACGTTAACGTTTTAGGTGTTTTTGTGCAGTTTTGTTTAAGTCTATTGACACAAATTTTGTGAAACGGATTAATTCAGATTTATGCAGTGTCCGCTTTGAGCGACTCGGCTGCTTTCATGATCAAAAACAAGCTCCACGCCTCCTGCCATCTTACCTGTTAAATGACAGAGATAAGAGCTTGCCCAACTTCAGTGGTCAGCGGATTGACTGGGAAAACTGGTACGAGCATCTCCCTGATCTTGTCTGTCGCTGCGCAGAGAAAGCGAAGGAAAAAGGCTGGAAACTGTTTGGAATTCAATTTTGGGGTGAGATAATTATTCAACAGATGCAGACAACTGAGGCCCTGATGTGCTCCGATCATTTAAACTGTTCCATAGTTTAGTCAAAAGAAATTAAAATCTTGGAGAGCTGGTACAACAAATTTTTAAATTATGTTGGCACCTTATTTTGTGCATGTGCCACACATACAGCAAGTGAAGGAATACCACTTTCGACAGCTTATATTTTCTTAAAAAAGGAGAAAGAGAAGCGCAGCTTCAGTATGTAGATCATGCTAATCTGCAACAAGTGCACATGGCAACAACCATGAAATCTTCAGCTTAAACTTACTCGAACGCATTCACGATTCTTGATCACTGTTCCTTCTTTTATTCACCTTTAATTTTCGACATGTCATCTAAAGAGTGCTCGCGTCAACCAA